AACAGAACTCACATTTCATTTTAGTGGTAGATCATAATTCGCACTTGCCGCATGGATTGTCGAGGCTCGAAGGATCAGTTGGGTGCACATGATTTTTCTCTGCCACCCCTCTTTGTCTTCTATTCCACATAATAACCGGAGACGCTGCTGGGAGATATAGTACATTCCAGCGGGCTATTCGATAGGCCTCGGTCGTTCAGCGGTCGGGTACACGTGTTGCCTGGCGAAGGCAGATCAACTGACAGCTGGTTGAGTCCACCGTGGAAATTAGCTACGAGGAGATGAGAGCTCAATAGCCAAGAGATGCTTCAAGACTACCTCGTAGACTGTACATCGTGTCCTCAGCAACGATTGATCTGAAGGTTCTTGGCTCATCTGACGCTTGTCATAATAAAAGTTCCCCTTTGGTGTATGATGTCTCGTATGCGATAGAGACTTGCAGCGGAGATAAAACGAAATGTGTCACGGAGTCCGACAAATGCCAAATTCACCGGGTCTAACTGGATCTGTGAGAGACAGTTGCACGTTGAAAACGCGTTTACAGTCCTCCTCGTGGATATCGAGCTAAGCATGGTCTTTGTTTTTCGAGACAAATTAACAGTGAATGAACCCACCGCATTTCGGTAGTCAAAATCGCACGTTAGGTGACCTCACTGCTTTGGTTCAACTCTTTACTCACATTGAGGATTACAAGCAGCCGAGTCCAAATTATGCTCAGAGTGCTTGCCCGTTGGAGCCCGACGTCCACCTTGGCTGACCTGTTCATCGAAGAAAAGTTAGTTGTATATGGTTAAAATGTTGGGGAGGCATGTAGGTGCCATCTCTAGGAAGAGTTGGGAAAAATGCAACCAGCAAACGAAGTGCACTATCCGCCTGGTGCTGTGGCTGCACGGATTTAAGAATTTTTGAGCAAACCAAGCGGTCAGTGCAGACGGTAAATGGCCCACAACACATCGTGCAGCCCTAAAACAGTCTTCAGTAGGTTTTGAAACACGCAACACATTTATTCAATGTCGAGATATCCCGTGTGTGTAAAAAATACGCACGTGTACCCCCTGATCTGTGTTGAACAATTACAGTTGGGGATTATTAGACAGTGTGATAGTCCTTGCGTATTGCTACCAAAAATCAGTAACATGTCGCGGACGGGTGACTAGGGTCCTTGCCACGATGATAGGGTCCCATCTTCAGGACTTTGTTGGGGCCTATGCTGACAAGACCCTTGACTAGAAGATTAGATTGGTACGGTCTATTCACCAAATTCCTATCGTCACTGAGCACATGCAAAGACAAGTGTTACGACATTCTTTGGTCAACTTAGGCTTGGTGGCTCTCAAAAATGTTGTAAGTCAAGATATTATTTTTTGTGCGATCTTTCCGTTTCCTCGTGCAGCTGATATCTCGAACTCAAGAATGAAATTGGGTTACGGAGCTTCGAGATCCGCACATTTTATTTGTTTATTTACAAACTTATCTTTTACTTACAATATTCAGTAACCATAAATATGCAGTTTGATTAGTTCAGTTGGCGGCAGGTCCTTCTTGGAAGAACTCCAATTTCGAAATCCAAGGGGACAGTCCCCGACTAATTTCTTCGAAAAAAACGATGTGCGTCATCAGTTCCCAACGCTCGAGGCCAGTAATGAGGGAAGGTTGGTGGATTCCAGGTCAGTTCACATAGTCAAAACGGTTCATTTTGAATAGCGCTTAAAAGTATTAACGGATAAATCGACCGATTTAGCGAACTCATTACACGCGGTGCTACATTCTGTAGGTCATTATAACAGGGCGTTAGCGCGGCGATATCTCCCGTATTGTCGGTTTTAGTCAACCAGCGTTCTGCTATAAATTCAGCACCATTAAAACCCCGTTAGGCATCCCTAGAACTCAGTAAATGGTGTAGTTGAGCAGGATGGACGATACAGTACAGCCCTGTCGAATGCTATATCGAATATCGAACGACTGGGGAGAGGAGAGGGGGAGATTGTTGCGAATCGGAACTCGCGCAGCGGTTGGGGCTGGGAGGTCTTAATCACACTGAATAATGTTGCCGGCACATTTCCTGTATCCATTATTCGCAACAGGGACCGGCGACGGGCGGAATCGAACGCTGCGGAGAGTCAAAGAAGCGTGTGGTTGTCGGTTGCTCGTAGCCGTGCCAGAATTCATGAATACGCCGCAGCGGGAATATCTGGTTGCTGCATCCACGTCCAGCTCGAAGCCCAACTTGGATGGGTTTCCTCCTAAAGCCACATACATACATCGAAACCTCCTGTGAATGGCAATGGCAGATGACTTTGCAGTAAATCCGTTTGGCCTTTGTGTCACGGAAGTTCTCGCAGCCAGCTTATAACCCTCCTTGAAGACAGGCACAAAGAATCCCTAGTCCCAGTCAACATGGTGGAACTCATCTCCTCACGCTAACTCAGTCAGCTTATGGAGCCAGTTAGCCAAAGTTTCGACACACGACTTGTGGGAATACCTGCCGGGTAGCTAATTCATAAGTGGACCCTTGCTATTACGATCTTCAAGTCCAGTTCCGAATAGGAAGAGGAGAAACTGAACGTCAGTACAGAGAGCATTGTATTCTAAACATGATGAGCAGAGAATAAGTCAGAAGAGGTTGGTAGCTGGACGGAATCACACGCCCGACGCCGCAAAAACAGGCGACCGCGTGGCGCCGGACAGGCGTCAGTGCGGCCTCAACGACTGCCCGTCTGCGCCGGTCTTGAAATTGACTGGTCGGTTTGGATAGCTGTGACGGGCGACAAGCAGAGTACCATTGACGCTCGTGTAGGTACCCGCGAGCGGCGCGGTGTTGCAACAGGCACCAGAGGAGGGTAAGTACAAACCGTCCTCTGCGGGCGTCTTGTTGCTACGCCACCCCTGTATTTCGTCGATCGTCTCTTTCTGGGAAGGAAGGTTACACAGCCCTGTAAAGGCAAGTGGGGGGTAAATCGTTGATAAAGGGGAAAAGGGGGGGTGACAAGTATATGCTCGGACGCCCACACCATCGCCCAACTTTGGTAAAGTTGACAGCGAGGGGGACACTGCTCACAGCACGAACAACCCCTCGTTGCAGAGACCGGTAAGGTCAGGCATGGTCACAGCCGCGCCAAGTACAAACCTAAGGGACCTGGCATTAACCCTCCGATTATGGCCGTTTTTGAGTGTCCGCGGCGTTTGGAGCATGTCATGAGGAGATCACCATTTGCGCTCAATAGCCCCTGAGGGCAATTATAGTCGACTTTGTCATTATGTCTCGGAGTTATTGGTATAAAAAATCGTTATGGGACCTGATTCGAATCGCCACGCAGACAACTACATGGTCCTTTAAGTAGTTCATGCATTGCCGTGCTGTTGAGTCAGTCTCTAGGACTTTGCTCTCCTACTCACAGCCCGGCCCCCTGCCCGCACCGCCCTTGGTTCGCCGATTACCCACTGTCATTTTAATGTCTGCGCCACGGACTGTAAGCGGACATGACTCAGGCGCACGCACGCACGCACCTCGCACTGTAATTGACAACAACAAAGGAGGACCCAGGGCATGCTGGGCAATTTTGCTGACGCCAACCTCCGAGCAGCTTCTAGGCTCTCTGAGGCAGTAAAGAGTGCTCTACTAGCTCTGTCTCCCTGGCTTTTGATTTTGGAACCTTATCGGTGTTGATCATTTCATCTCAAGAAATCAGGATTATCTCGGACACCCCGCGAATTCCATGAGGATTGCTTGCTATTTTCTTCAACACGGGATACAAAGCGAGACAGAATTTCGGTGCTCAGGACCCCGGCTTTGCTGGGTTGCCGAAAATTTGCGAGACAAGGGCGTTTGGTAGGAAACATTTTGGACGCGGTTGAAAAGTGTCATTTCAGGTAAGTGCAAACGATAACACAATCTGCGCCATAGGCGTCGTCAATTTCAGCACTACGCATGACAGTTCGACCGTCTTTTCCGACGATGTCAACCGTGTACCACACAGCAGGTGGTGGGAGCAGGGACGGTGACTTGCGCAGGGGTTTATAATGCCAGTATACTTTCGCTGCATCTACCACACTCTCTCCTCCTCCCCGTCTGAGCCCAGAGTCAAGAAGACTGGAGACGAAGGAGGCCGCAGGTAGATGGCTTGGATGGATCGTCACCTTGGCGTTCCACCACACCCCCTGGTCCACACAACGAATGACCAGGATTTCAGCCAACACAACAGAGATTTGGAGGCTGGCACGACCGAAGCCGCACCTGGGCGTGCAGCCAACGCCTGACTCGGATCCCACACTGCGGTGGGAGTGCCATAATGGCCACATTAAGAAGGAGCCATTACAGCCTGACTCTCAGACCTCCAGACAAACGCACAGCACTGGGCCGACTGCGAGGTACAAGTTATCCTGTCAGTCGGCAACCTTCCAAGCCACGGCTTCTAGCGCACCGTGATAGCTTCAAGTGCGTCAGATTGTTTATAATGAGGAGGAAAATGCACTGAGTCGTCAACCTCACTCTCCCTTCCCATTCCCACACTCCAGCCACTGTCCGAGTCGGCCAGCAGACTGGAGTGGGGAATAGGCGCGGTGGCTGACATGGTCGACTGACCATGACTGCGCGCGCCACGAGCACGACCTGGCCCCCCATACACACAAAATCCAGGATTTCACACAACGGGGGTTGAACGGCGTGTCTCTCACTTGCGTGAGAGGGCCGTGGAAGGTGCTGTTTCAGCCCGTCCCCAGCCCATTAGTCCGCCACTCCACACAACACGCACACAACGGAACGGACTGCGTGGACCGAGTGGGGACATCAATCAGCAGCCCTTCTATCCACGACGCTTGACGTGTCGGGATAGTCTCAGACTCAAATTAAGTTGCCCGTGCATCAGGGGCCGCACGGGGACCGAATCGAGATGCACACTTCCCACTTGCGTGGGAGGTTGCAGTTGGGTTCTTGCGGCGGGTGAGTGTTGGTATGTGGTGAGGGAGGGAGTGTGTGATGGTGTGGTGCAGCCGGCAGTTGTCTACCGCAGGTTTTCTGTGCCGCCGCGGGCGTTGAAGTCACCAAGGACAATCAACTTATCCGCCTTCGACGCAGACGCCAGGAGTGCATGCAGGTCCACGTATAATTTGTCCCTTGCGGCGTCAGGGCCGCCCATCGGTGGAGCGTACAGGCTGATGATGGTGGCGAATTTGCCTCCCCGGAGAGGCAGACGGATGCTCATCAGGTGATCGTTGATGCCCTGCGGCAGACAGGGCAGCCGTCCCACGATGTCGTTCCGGTTGGCGAAGCGACATCCGCGTCTCGTCTTTTTCCAGGGAGCGACTACTCCAGAAGAAGGTGTAGCCGGCACCCACCTCCTCCATTGGGCCATGTTCGGAGAACCGGGTCTCGATGAGTGCAGCGACTTCCACATTGTATCACGCCAGTTTCCGAGCCACTAGCACCGTCCTCCGTTCAGGTTGGTTGTTCCTCAGATTGTCTAAAAGAGAACGAGCATTCCGGGCTGCCGGAGTGAGCGGACTCACCCTACCAGTCTGGCGAGTGTGGCGACGGGGAGAGGAAGAAGAGGAGGAGGAGAGAGATGGCTGTCTTCTCGGTTTTGGCCTTTTCAGTCGTGCGTTTATCGGTGAACACGCTGATCTGAGGCCATTCGTTTGCCGAACGCCGTTGACCAAGTGGTATGCGGAAGGGTGGTTGGCTGGTTGCACTGATGTCTTCGATCGGTGTGTTAGTGTGCTCAGTCCACTTGAATTGCCCAGTGGAGGCGCTTCCTGGATGGTCTTTGGCAATACCAAGGCCATCCTCAATGTTCTCTTCCTCCGAGTCTAACCGCGTTACACTGGGCTACCTCTTCCATACCAGTACACGCTTAAGCTTTCCCAACTATCCCGCCTGGATACGGCATTTGCAGTGGACGCCATGTCCACTCTAATAATGGCTTGGCCATCCAGATTTTTAGACATCTAGAACTCAATCGTTGTCGCTTTATTTCGCCTCTGGTCTCCTTGCGAGTACTGGGTCAGGTTTCTGTTGATGTCATGACCGTGGCCTCTTACTGCACCGCCTTTGGGAAGTCAACAATGGCAGACGAGCTCCCTGGAGTTCAATCTGCTGGCCTAGGATCTCGAGGAAAGGAGATCCTGGAGCGTATCTGACATAATGCCTGGTTACGTCAGACTGCTGAAAATGGCCGAAAATTCGAGAACAGTGTTAGTGATTATCTTGATCATCCCGACTATCGAATAAAATACTGTCAGTGTAAACATGAACGAGGAGGTGGGAGCACAAGCCGCCATCATTAAGGCGTCGGAAGTACTGTGAGCCACTGTGCAGAAGGAGGTGTGTTCCAAAAGACTAAAAGAAACAAAAGGATGTTGTGACACCTGTCTTTGCACGTAGTCAGGAACGATGATAATTTGGTAAAAGGACCGAACCAAGCCAATCTCCGAGAAGACGGCTTCGGCCGCCTGCTCCCTTAATCACCCCCGCCTTGTCACCAGAGTCTGGTGACCCCGATGTGATACAACCACGCATTTGGCAGAGATAGCTGCTGAGCAATGCAATACTGGTTCTGCCTGCGGCGAAGAGATTCCAGACTCCAATTAAAGAACCTCCGACGGAATACTGGCAACGGCACAATTCTATGCGACGTCTCCACTGACTCCCGCCGCTCCGTTGTGGCGTCATCCCTTCGCCGCAAGTTCTTCTCCACCCGAATGACCTTTCTCACCCTGTGAGTCGGGCTACAGACAAGCTGATTTTCCACCGCTTTGTCTGGCCTGGGATGCACAAGGACCTGAAGGCACGGGCATGGGTGTGCCTCGGCTGTCAGTGAAGTGTTGACCAACGGCAAAACAAAGCTCCCATCGGCACCTTTCCCACTCCGGATGCACGGTTCAGTCATGTCCACCTGGACACAATATCTCCTCATCTGTGTGGATCCATTAACCCGGCGGCCGAAAGCTGTGCCTCTGTCTGAGGTGCTGCTACAACAGTCGTCAAGGATTTTCCCAATCGTTAGGTTGTCATTTTCGGTATCTCCTTCACAATCAGAACTGATCGCGGTGCCCAGCTTGAATCTAATATCTTCCAGTCTTTTCGAGAAAATAATTGATTTTTGTCGTTTATCACAAAAACGCCGAAGCCGTCGCAACTTAATGCGTGCCTCCCAATGGCGGCAATTCCTCCCCGCAAGTAGGCTCTTGTTCTGGTCGAAGTGTCCGTCTCACATTCGTCTTCTACAGCCCTATCTGCTTTCATCGTCATGAGTTATTGCGTAATAGTTTTAAGAAGCACTTAGCACCGGTCTAGTCTTTTCGCGGCCCATGTACTAATTCAGTACTAATTCTTTCACGCATTTCCCATTTTCAGAGTGCAAACACAATATCTGCTGCATTTCATTTAGAATATCGATTTTGTATATGCAGAATTTGTCTGTCAATGGTATATCTGGTGTACTCCTGCCTCCCCTTTGGGATTATATTCGTATGCTAAGGATTTGACTTTCGCCAAAACACCCTAAGACACAGGAACAGAAACCAGCACTTCGGCCAAATTTCGGGAGATTAGTGTGAGAGTTTGGGCTAACATTGTGTTTGGGACGCGGAAATGTGTTCCATCCTATATTTTGGGATGGTGCCTTTTCGTGTGTCTTATACAATGCATACCTCATAAATGTCCGTCTCTCCAAATTAGGTCGGACTCCCACATTTATGATAGTTCGATCGTCGCTACCGACGCCTAACAGCGTGCTGAGCGCAAAGGCGATGACTTGCGTGTGAAGTAACTTTAAGTAATAGAAGACTTGATCAGCATTTATCGCACTCTTTCCCTCCTCACCCCTCTCAACCAGGGAGTGTGGTAGGATCATGCGCAAAGGCTGACAAAGCCAAACGACCTGTCTGCGTGCGCCACGAGCCTAGTCCGCGCACGATGCACAAGAATTTCACCAAAACATCGAAGGGGACGCCTCCAATTGCAAACGAATGCGAGTGCCATAAGTGTCACATTAAGAAGCAACCACTGCAGCCTGATTCTCCGTCCTGAGAGGAGGACCAAGTTATCCTGTCATTTGTCAGTCTCTTAAGCCACTACTTTTAGCTCACTGTGAGAGATTCACACGGGTCAGATTGTTTTTAGTGAGGAATATGGACTGAACCCCGTGTAAACGAAGTCCACACTCTCTCACCCCACACACTCTTCACCTCTCTCAAGCGCCAGTACAGTGAACTGATGCGGAGATTGGGCACAGCGGCCAACAGATCAGAAAAGCCCATCTGTGCGTACTACATGGACTGGTCTCCCACGCAAGGCATCAGATTTTCACAAAAAGGGGAATTGCTTAGTGCTCACAAGCGTCAGAATATCACTGAAGACGCATGAAACAGGAGGCGAAGAAAACGTTTTCCACTTGCGAGAGAGGCGCCTATGCCACTACTGAGGTGGAGTTCGTATCTCTTTGGTCTTCTTATGGACTTCAGCAATTCTCGCTCTTGAACAACTACATTAACATCCAGCGTTGCGGAATTCGCCGGTCCTGTTATGACTGATTATGGTTTTTTGATATCAGAAGGCATTCTTCATCACTAACGCTCTGATATGGAATAAGATGTTTACTTTTATCGTTTCTCTGTATTGCCCCACAAATCCAGTCACCCTCCACCCACCTGTACAATGGGATGGTTGAATTTCATTGTAAACTCTTTATTGGTTGTTCCCCTAACTGGACTGGTCCATCTCGACGCCTCAAACTGAATCGCGGCTTGCTCGTCCAAATTACTCGGCTTCGTCGTGCAGTATGCCACATACAACGTCGGATCGCCCATTTAATCTTCCTATGCAGTGGAAAGAAGCTAACAAATGTACATGCCTCAGGCATCTATTTCTGAGCGTGAACTCATCCAGTCGTCGACCTAGTGCCCGCCAAGATTCAGAAGACGTGAACACTTGTAACTTTGCAGTGAATTCGAGTCGGATAATTTGCCCTCGTGGCCAACCACTTACACAGGCACGGTCATATTCACCACCTCTCTCATAACGACCAATCCATCTTAAAGTCCTTCTGTTAGCCTACAGCTTGTGGACGACTGAATGCCTGAACAATCCAGTCTTAAACATTCCGACAACCTGCAAGATACATTTTTTTCATTTGTATCGGTCACTGAGATCTGCATGCCAATGAGTCACTTTCGGTTGGGACGTGAGTTTAGTGTAACATGGAGACTTGAAGTGCATGCACGAGAACGTCACGGATTCGGTCTGTTTTCCGTGTACGGCGGCCCAGAGGCGGTTAACGTGAGAATCGGAAGATGCCGCTGTCGACGGCGTTAGCTTCGCGTGACTTGCGCGCGCTCAGCCGGGTGCGTGCGGACGTGCCCACTGGCGCGTACTGTGGCGGCGGGTTAGCTGCCACGCCAAGTGCACCAGCACTTGGTGGGTGCAGCACATGAGTTGTACAATGCGGCCTGGAAGTTGCTTGGGATGAGTGACGTTGACTCGGACCACCCTTTTGATTTAAAACAGGAGGGCTTGTTTGGCTCTTTCTTATGGTGTATCTCGTGAATTTGCCCGCCTACGAAAAGTGCGCAAAATAACCGAATTTCTGGCAAACCGTCCTCTACATTTCCTACACGTAGTGTACTGAGGGAAAATATGCAGAGAGTAAAGGAGGTATGGTATGGTAAAGAGGTATTCCTGGGGAAACTTTTGAGGAGTGGGAAAGTGTCATTATGATATGTTTGTTGTTGGTCTTTCGTTTTAGCTAGTTTAACTATTGAGTATCTACGAAGACTGAAACATGAACGCTGATGGGGACCGACCACCTACTGCGCCAGACCCCAGTGAAGTGAGGGCTGGATGGGGAAATTTGGGTCAGCTACAGTAGGTGGGCTAACTCATGAAATGTCAACCAAAATTCCGAAATGCGTTTTCGTCTCGAAAAGACTATTTAAGTAGGGTTGTAAAACTAGTCAGCCTGCTACATAATTTTATAATATTTCAGGTACCTCAGGATGCCGGCATTCGAATGAACTTCCTTCCGGCTGCATGCAAAAACTACACTCTTTAGAAAATGACTACACACGTAGCATGCATTGTTCTCATTGATTTTCGACACCTCTAAAAGTCCAATTAAATTTCATGGAAAACATGCATAAAATATTCATTCTTTTGCTCATTCGGTAGAAAATTATGTCTTATTCTAGGGTTATACTCAAACAAGGGAGATAATTCGGATTTAATAAAGTTCCTAATTGTGGGACTTTAGATACCGTGAAATGTCCGTTCACAAATCGTCATGTCTGTGCATTTACCGATGTGGCCTGTAAAGTTAACAATATGGATCAAATCCCCTGCTAAACCATATAGGGTTTATATGGCCCCCCTTTGGTACCGTAGAGAAATGTGTGGTTTTCC